GAGAAGACAGGTTTTAGCCAAAGATGTCAGATATTGGTTTATATTTTATTATTTATTTTTGAACATTAGATTCTTATATTGTACAGGATGTTTTGTGCACCATCTCCGATTTAGCTGTAAAAGCTCAGGTTTACAAGTCCCACTGCTCCTTTTGAGCCATCGTGTATCTTATTCTGAGGTTTTTTTTGAATTTGTACTCCATCATTATGTTCTAAAAAGATCTAGACTGCTGACCGGTGGCTTTTATAACTATAGTACAAAATCTCTTAAGAAGGGGTGTCCTCTAGCATAACAAGGGTATACATTTTAGAAGGAAAGTTTATTTTACAAAATAACTACTTGTCCCTCTTTCTAATCAGAGTGTGAAAAATCTGAGAGAGTCAGAGAACACACCCTGAAATATAAATATGCATGTATTTATATACCAGTGATATTTATGTTTTAGGTAACGATTAGGAAACCTAAGTGAATTTATTACATTTACACATCACACTTCTTAATTAAAATGACTGTGTTTTTGTATGCTCTATGGCTTTTGTATACAGAAACCTGTTTGTTCTTCCAACTTGAAGGAAGAAAATCAAAAGGCACAACCCCTCAGGGCTGCCGTAGATGGCTCGAACTTTGGCCAATTACTGCTTGGCAGCCCCTGGGCTTGACAAAAGTCACATTTTCAAAAGACCTTTTATTAAAGGTGCTGGGTGAAAAATTGTTGGTTGAACAGGGCAATCAGATGCAGCCACTGTATGGGTATTCTGACAGCCATGGGTACCAGCTGCCAGAATGCAACACCTGGCAGGAGAGGATTGCTCTATTATTGCCCTTTAGTATGGATGCAGGAATCTCTTACATTTTTTTTTTCCCTCTTTCAGCCCACAGGTTAAACAAGAGCATTAATTTGTCCCCCAATTTCTAGATTTTAGTTTACGTTGTGCAGATTCCTTATTTTTATGAAGTATAGTATTTTCCTCATTTTTGTGTCACTTTCTGGGGGTTGTATTATTCCATTACTGGGGTATACCCTGAAGTCTAATTAAAAGTCAATTATGGAGATCAGGAGGCATAGCCATCAAAACTTTCTTGTACATTTCGGGTGCGATCAGTCCAAAACTTGGGAAAGGTTTACTTTAACAACTCAAATTAAAAGCATCCTTCTCAGGCCAGCTTACGACTGTCCAGGTAGGTGAACAGGGCTTTTATTCCAGCCTAGACTGTAACAATATTGCGGTTAGGATTGAATCATCTCTGAGACAAGACCTCAGTGCAGTGAAGCAAAGTTTGTCAGATCTGGAGCAGACCATCAATACCTTGTCTACTGACAGGGACTCCATTTTACAAAGGCTACAGTCCCTTGAAACATTCAATAGGCAGCAATCCACTACTATGAACCGAATCTGCTTGCAACACGATGATCTTGAAAATTGCCAGAATAACATTAAAATTTGCAGGCTGCCTGAGGATACTGGCCCGGCAGATCTGAGAGCCACTGTCCCTTTGGTATATTCAGTGATCTGCTAGACAAACCTGCTGCTTCCCCTATAGAAATTGACTGACAGGATACATTGTACCAACTCTCCCCCGGGGGAATCGAACGTAATCAACCCAGAGACGTACTCTGCCGTGTACATTTTTTATTACTATTGCCCCTGCAATTTGATGGTATCTCCATTCAACTGCTTCAAGACCTTTTGCACAGGACTCTTTATGCGCCACCTGCTACAGTCCTTACTGGACACCATCAGAAATTGTGGCAGCACCTATGTCTGGAGCTATCCAATCCGCTTGGCCTTACTACAGTTGCAAGAAAAAGTATGTGAACCCCTTGGGATTACGTGGAGTTTTGCATGAAGTGGGCATAAAATGTGCTCTCAACGTCATCTAAGTCACAACAATAGAAGAACACAGTCTGCTGAACATAATACTACACAAACATTAGATGTTGCCATGGTTTAATTGCACATAACATGTAAACATTCACAGTGCAGGGAGGAAAAAGTATGTGAACCTTTGAACTTAATAACTGGTTGACCCTCCTTTGGCAGCAATAACCTCAACCAAACGTTTCCTGTAGTTGCAGATCAGACCTGCACAACGATCTGGAGTAATTTTGGACCACTCCTCTTCACTAAACTGTTTCAGTGTAGCAATATTCTTGGGATGTCTGGTGTGAATCGCTCTCTTAAGGTCATGCCACAGCATTTCAATTGGGTTGAGGTCAGGACTCTGACTGGGCCACTCCAGAAGGCGTATTCTGTGCTGTTGCAGCCATTGTTTTGTTGAATTACTTGTATGCTTTGGGTCATTGTCCTGTTGCATCACCCATCCTCTGCGGAGCTTCAGTTGGCGGACAGATGGTCGTTTGTTTTCCTGCAAAATGTCTTGATAAACTCTGGAATTCATTTTCCCATCAATGACAACAATCTGTCCAGGCCCTGAGGCAGCAAAGCAGCCCCAAACCATGATGCTCCCTCCACCATGTTTTACAGTGGGGATGAGGTTTTGATGTTGGTGTGCTGTGCCTTTTTTTTTCTCCACACATAGTGTTGTGTGTTCTTCCCAAACAACTCAATCTTGGTTTCATCTGTCCACGGTATATTTTGCCAGTAGTGCTGTGGAACATCCAGGTGCTCCTTTTGCAAACTTCAAACGTGCTGCAATATTCTTTTTGGACAGCAATGGCTTCCTCCGTGGTGTCCTCCCATGTACTCCATTCTTGTTTAATGTTTTCCTTATTGTAGATGTGTCAGCAAAAATGTTAGCATGTGCCAGAGATTTCTGTAGGTCCTTAGCTGACACTCTGGGATTCTTCTTTACCTCATGCAGCATTCTGCGCTGTGCTCTTGCAGTCATTTTTACAGGACGACCACACCTAGGGAGAGTAGCAACAGTGCTAAACTTTCTCCATTTGTAGACAGTCTGTCTTACCGTGGACACATGAACATCAAGGCTTTTGGAGATACTTTTGTAACCCTTTCCAGCTTCATGCAAGTCAACAATTCTTGATCGTAGGTCTTCTGAGAGCTCTTTTCTGCGAGGCATGGTTCACATCAGACAGTGCTTCTTGAAACCAGTAAACCCAAAACAGGTGTGTGTTTTTTAAGGGCAGGACAGCTGTCGGCAACACATCCAATATCATCAGACTGATTGGAGTTAAGGTTGGCTCACTCCTGGCTCCAATTAGCTCTGGGAGAAGTCATTAAGCTAGGGCCTCACATACTTTTTCCTCCCTGCACTGTGAATGTTTACATGTTATGTGCAATTAAACCATGGCAACATCTAATGTTTGTGTAGTATTATGTTCAGCAGACTGTGTTCTTCTATTGTTGTGACTTAGATGACGTTGAGAGCACATTTTATGCCCAATTCATGCAAAACTCCACGTAATCCCAAGGGGTTTACATACTTTTTCTTGCAACTGTATCTGTCTGCATAATGAAAGCTTCTTCTTGAATGATCAGGATCGATTCCCTGAGGCTTTTTCCTTTCTCCATACTACTCCGGTGGCTGTCCTGGATTGGCTTACTTCAGATCTCGCTCCTGTTGGGGCTCCACTTCCGTAGCATACACCGGGCACCTCCTACAGAAACCGGCCTGGCCCATCATCCTTGAATCCTCCTGCTGAGTGAACCCTGACACTGATCAAGTCATCTTATTTTCATCGACCAGCGCTGCCATTCCTCACCCTGGCCGTGCTCCTTCATAGTAAACCTGCTACAAGCCACCCTAAGGATAGCAGGATGGATTCAGAAGTGGCAGAGAATATCCATTATATTCTGGTAAAGACAAACTATTGCAGACAAAATGCAACTAGTCAAAGTAAAAAATCAAACAACTCTGCATGTAATAATAAACTTTTTCCTTCATCTATACTCCAACACCCCATATATAAAATAAGATGAATAATATAAATATACCTTATTACAATCAAATACTCCAAAATAATAATAATAAAAAAAAAAAATGTCCAAAAGTAATAAAAGTCCAATAAGTCAATAGTCCACCAAAAATATCTCAATCCAGTGTTTTGAACTTTCAATTTTCATCCCAAACCTCGTGATACCTCGAAAACAATATACTATAATAGTTTATTACCTTCTAAATATCAAATAAATTTATATACCTTAAACGTATGTATGTACTAAATCAGTGCAAACAATAAATAAATGCATCAAAATATACTCAGATTCAACTGTGAGTGACCCGTGAATCATGCAAAAATCATTCCGTGTACACTCCAACAATAAATGAAAATAGTGTACACTCCAAACAAAAACAAACAAAAAAAATTCTTTAAAATTAATTAAAAATACATAAATGATGATCTAAATACATAAAACTATCAAATAGATAAATAAAGTGAGACAAATCAAATATAATAGTGAGCACTCCAATTAATACAGTGAACACTCTGTGATGACCTCCAAATAGTGAGATTGAATGCAATTACCCTCAGGGAGTAATGTCAAGCTTATCTGGATGTTCTTGATAAATATAGCAACCACTTCCAGGCTTTCATTCACTTAAGTTGCCAATCCTCCATGTTCCTCCATAAAGCAAAAAGGAGACTTATGTGGTATATATTTTGAAGTATAAAAAGACATTTTAATATAAAATCTTACATTGGGGTAAGTAAAAATCATCTTTGTGCCAACAAACCAGCCTCTGCAGCCTCCTGGGTTAAGAAACCATGTTTTCCAGATTCCAAAATGGCCGTGCCGACACTTCCGGTGTTGCGTGAATACATCAGACATCACGTCCTTTGACGCGTTTTGTCACTTCCGGACTTCTTCTGAAGGGCCCTCCAGAAGTCCGTAAGTGACGAAACGCATCAGTGGACATGTTTGACGCATTTCTAGTGTCAGAGATTTGTGTGTTTTTTTTTTTTTTTTTTTTTTTTTTTTTCCTATCTTTAACTCTAGCCTTTGTGTGGCATACTGTATGCTGTTCATAACCGATTAGCTTTCTGTCCCACTACTAATATTCTACCTTTTTTGTTGTAGAGAAGGCTTCAGAAATACCAGAAAAAGTGATTCAAGACCGGTTCCGTAAACTTGGTCGCTTCCCAGAAGCCTTCAGCTCTATACATACAAAGGGACACGTACTTACAACCCTCCTACAGATTTCTCAGGCTTAAGACGTGCTGTTGAGCAACAGCTGGAGAATAACACCACACGCTCCTCACGCCACCCTGGTGTCATATATAAGGCACTGAAGGTAACATAATAAAAGTGATGTATTGTGCTCAAATGCAAGTGGTGTGTGTGTTTTTTTGCTTTTTTTTTTTTTTTTTTTTTTAACGGAAGTTTACAGATATATTATGTGTGGGGTTTTTTTTTTGGTTTTTTTTTTTTATTAATTTATTTCTTGTTTTGGGGTTTTTATTCTGTCAATGTTTTTTATTGTCTTCAGGCACATCCTAAAATATTTGTCAAAATTTGTACTATTTCATGTAAGGATCTCCTGTGATTCCCATCCTTAATTCCGTATATCTAGTCCATTCAGATTTGATATCTCCAAAAATAAGGTGTGATGGAAATGTACTTTGATACAAATTTGACTCCTTTTGACACCTTTAGTATGAAAGTTGTTGCAGAATCTAAAGCTGTGCATTGACATAAGATGATTATCACAGAATCCTGCTAATATCAGATATTCTGTCGATGGCCACCAGCAGATTTCACCAGCTTCCAAATTTTGGATAGTGGGTTTGTGAACTTGTGCAGTTGCAGTTATTCTTACCGAGGTATGCAAACGCTGAAAGTGTCTGCTTTTACCAGTTCCTCCCTGCTCCAAAGGCATGAATATGCCAAAAAGCTGCCAAAAAAGGACCTTTCCCAAAGTTTTTTTTATTATTGTTGCAAGCAGTCTTTTAAAGGAATACTTCAATGAAACATTAAAATGCACCATTCATTTGATACAGGGCACATTGTCAACTTGGTCCAATATTTATTTATTTATTTTTTTTGGAAACTCTTTGGGTCCACGCACATTGGGCTTAAAAAAAAAAAACAGTTTCTTTGACCAAAAAAAAACTGAGTATTTTTTTTTAGCATTTTTTTTTCTGCCAGAAAACTCCTCTCAAAAGCAAACCAGAAGGGTTTTTTTTTTTCTGTCTCTAAACTCTGCTTAAAACATGCCTTTAAATGTCCTAACATGCATGGACACCAGGGACGGACTGACCATTTGGAAACTTGGGCACTGCCCGAGGGCCCGGGGTCAGTAGGGGGCCCCATGAGATGCCCCTGGTACCTTTTTCATAGGCTTTTTTGAGTTTGGGCAAGGACACAGGGGCCCCATGATCCCCTATTGCCCGGGGGCCCCATGAGTTGTCAGTCCGCCCCTGATGGACACACAGGATATCTTTTGAGTTGCTTCTACAGGCAAAACACAAAACTCCTGGCGAAGAAGCATTTTTTTAAGCCAGTGTTAATGGACCTTATTGTACTGATGTTTTTTGTTGAAGAGCTGGCGCCGCTGTGTGTGGTGTTGTGTTTTGTTTTTTTTTTGGGGGGGGTTTTCTGCCATCTATGTCCAATTGCAGAGATTATGGCAGTGATGTCTTCAGCTGTGCACTTTTAGGAGATATTTATTTTACTTACAGGTAAGCTTTATTATGTGCTTACCTGTTGGTAAACGTCAAAGAGCGCGCTTTACTACCACTTTCATTTCCTGTCCCATAGCCAAACAGGAAAGGAGAGGAAATCCCAGCAAATTAATGGAAATTCTTGGGGATCCCCAGGTCATCAGAACTAGTGTCCCCATTGGAAGAATTTCCATTGTATTACTTTTCTGGGGAGAACCCAAAATTTGGGATTTTCTTTTACTTTCAGTGATATTGGTAAACAGGACAAATAGAGAGTGCAAATCTCCATAACAGGGGTACAGACTGCAATAAGAACTGACAGGGGTTCTAATCCCTCTGCACTCTATCCAAAACAGAAAAAAAGGTTTTGTCTTTAGTTATACTTTAACGTAAATTGTGTGAATTTACTTTAGCATAATTTCACTGTTTTACTTGGTAGAATGGTCTCACATTCTGACATGAATGCTTACCCCTGTTGCGTGGTAGTGTTTGATATAAGTTGAGTGCACTTTCTGACTACAGACCAGTTACAGTGTTATCTGGGCTGCATTAGGAGATCACTGATTATACATTTTTTTTTTTTTAATATATTGTTGCTTCCTAGTATATATTTAAACCTGCAATTACTTATGTTATAATATTTAAGTTGCTTATCAATTATTTTGATGTAGGTGGCATCATGACTGTTTTCCTTTTTTAATATGAGCCTTCTGTATTTTGGTTTTCAGGCACTGAGTGATCGATTCAGTGGTGAGATACCAGATGATCAAATGACACATAGCTGCTTCTTCCCTGATGAGTATTTCACCTGCTCTGCCCTGTGCCTAAGCTGTGGGTAGGTGTTAACTTCTAGGAATTAAAAATTGGGTTTTCTTCTGCAGAAAATTGATCATCTTCATCTTTCTTTTTCTTCTCTACTTTTTTTTTATATAATTTTTAGGTTTTATTTTTTTTTTGTTACTGTACTTCTCACATGCTTGAAATTTTTTGTTCAGTTTTTACTGTGTAGATCCACAATGGGCACTTTTGTGTGTGATAATATATTAACCGCTTCCCCTCTGCCTTACATACATGTAGCAGAGAAAATTCTGTCAAATTTTAGGCCAAAATGTAATTTTTTTTTATTTTTTTTTTTCTGGACCTGTTTAATAGCAAATTAGTTTTTTTTTCTCCAAATTGTGGGTTTTTTCTTTTTTTTTTTTATTTATAGCGCAAAAAATAAACGTACACGCGATCAAATGCCATTGAAAGGCAGCTTAATTCGTGGGGAAAAAAGGGTGTACATTTTATTTGGGTGCAGTGTTGCATGACTGTGCAATCGTCAATTAAAGTAACGCAGCGCTGTAACGAAAAAATGGCCTGGTCAGGAAGGGGGGTAAATCCTCAGGAGGGCAAGTGGTTAAAACATACTCTATGGAGAATAACATGATATTTCTTCCAAAGAATTTAAAATTGCTTGTTGAAAAAGATTTTATCAATCAAATGGATTTTTTGCTTTTATAGAAAACAACACCTTTCTGATAAGGAGCACACTCTCTTGGACATGGAGCCCCTGTTCCTCTGTGTTTACTTTGCAGAATTCTAGGCACTAATGCTTGCTGTATAATGTATCCAATGTTGAATTGAGGTGTTATTTATGTGTTTTTTGGATGTTTTTTTGTTCTTTTTTTTATTTCTTCTAAATTTGAAATGTTTACTTTTAGTAATAGCTGATCTTGAATGTGTCTGGTTCTCACAATCTGACTGTAATGTTCTGCTATGTAGAGCTGGGTGTAAGAATAGCATGAACCACTCGAAGGAAGGACTTCCACATGAAACTCCAAGACGCTGCAGATACTCCCACCAATTTGACAACAGAGTGTACACTTGTAAGGTAAGCAAAGGAGAGACGAGGAAATGACAACCCAAAAATCAGGCGGTTACTGGATAGGTGACAACTTTAGTAATAGAAAGCAATGTACACCTACACAGGTGATTGAACTGGTAAGCAGTAGGGATAGTCCAAATACCATGATAATACATAACACCACTGTTCTTTTACAGTGCAGTACAGTAAATGAGCATAAGTGTAGTAGAAGATAGGTAATTTTAACTTTTTTTTTTTTTTTTTTTTTTTTAGGCTTGTTATGAAAGTGGAAAGGAGGTGAATGTGGTACCTAAAACCTCTGCGTCTACTGACTCCCCATGGTTAGGCCTTGCCAAATATGCTTGGTCTGGGTAAGCGTTTTTATCCAGTGTCTAATTTTAACACATTCTTTCACTGTTGGTTTTGTAAGTCTATTTAATTACAGAGTTGTCACTTGCTACCTGTAGGTACGTGATAGAGTGCCCGAATTGTGGAGTGATCTATCGCAGCCGTCAGTACTGGTTTGGAAATCAGGACCCTGTGGACACTATTGTGCGCACTGAAATACAGCATGTGTGGCCTGGAGTAAGACTTGAATTTATTACTTTTTGTAGTGCCCAAGAAAACCCAATATTTCTGTTAATTTACGAGATAGTTTAGAGCATCAGTCTTGAATTATGCCAGTCTCTGGCTCCTGTATGAATAAACCCCAAGCCAGGGACATTGCTTGCAGGGAACCTTAACCCCTTCCCACCTAAGGGTGAGACCAATGCCTAAGTACAGTTTTTTGCAACTTTGACTTGTTTTTTTTTTTTTTTTTTTCTCCAGGACAAATTTGGATTTCTTTTTGTGGTAAATGGTAATGGGTATTTCCTGATTGATTTATTTATTTTTATTACCATCAAAGGAAAACTGGCCCAAAGTAGTAAAAAAAATTTTTTTTTAATGTAGCTGTATATTACCATAATTTACCACCAAAGAACAACCCAAAATAAATTCTGCTGCTCCTGACGATCGCAGCAATAATTGTTGTTTGCACCCGTAGTATGACCCAGAAACCTTGGTGTGCATTTTCTTTTTTAATCTTGCCTAAAACACTTGACCCTAACACTAACCCTGGCAAACCTTGATCTTATTTTTTTTTCTTGATTTTTTTTTTTCTTAATTTACGTATTTATTTTACCCCCTTTTTTTTTTTTTTTTTTTTTACAGCTTCATCTCCTGCAAGGGGAGTAAGGTACAACATATCTTCCTCTTCATTCAGAAGAGGAAATAAACATAGGGGCAGGCTCACAGTGACTAACCACTGTGATAGCCAATCGGAGGCTATCACAGCAATCAGTTGACCCTGAATCGGGAGTCCTGGGTCTTGATCGTTGGTATGAGACCCAGGGATCTCGGTGAGAGCCCGGTCTCTGTCACAAAGCGAGATACACATATGTGGCCCCGCGAAAAGACCCACTTGCGTGAGGCTGCATATATGCATATGGTCGTCGGGAAGGGGTTAAAGTATATGTGAACAAATGCCTCATTCAGTTTAAAATAGAAATGAAAGTCAGAATATTTGTATGTACAGTGCTCAGCATAAATGAGTACACCCCTTTTTGAAAAGTAAGATTTTAATCAATCTCTTAGCGAACACAAGAACAATTTCCAAAAGTTTTATAGAACATTTTGTTTAGCTCATTACATGAAAGTAAGATTAATAATATAACTTAGATTACAAAATCTTCAGTTTTACTCAAATTAGTTGATGCAAAAATGAATACACCCCACAACAAAAATTACTACAACTAGTATTTTCTATGACCTCCATGATTTGTAAGGACAGCTCCAAGTCTTCTAGGCATGGAATGAACAAGTTGGTGACATTGCAATATCTATCTATTTCCATTCTTCAAGAACGACCTATTTTAGAATCTGGATGCTGGATGGAGAGTGATGCTCAACTTGTCTCTTCAGAATTCCCCATAGGTGTTTGATTGGGTTCAGATCAAGAGACACACTTTCACTCTGTTCTTTTTCATAAATGCAACAGTGGCCTTAGATGTGTGTTTTGGATCACTGTCATGTTTGAAAAGTGCATGATGACCAAGGGCACAGAGTGATGGTAGCATTTTCTCTTTCAATATAGAGCAGTACATCTGTGAATTCATGATACCATCAATAAACGCAGCTCCCCGACACCAGCAGCACTCATGCAGCCCCACAGATGGATACTGCCACCACCATGTTAAACTCTAGGCACCATGCATTTTTCATTGTATTCCTCACCTTTGCAACGCCACAGAGTTTTTTGAAGCCATCAGTTCCAAAAACATTTATCTTGGTCTCATCACTCCAGAGTCCCAGTACTCTTCTTCTTTTTCAGCATGGGCCCTGGCAAATTCCAGGTGGGCTTTCTTGTCCATGGGCTTTAGGAGAGGGTTCCTTCATGGATGACACTCATGCATGCCCTTCGTCTGCAATGTACGCCGTATTGTGCCATGGGAAACAATTGCCCCAGTTTGGCTTTTTACTTCTTTAGCTAAGTACAGTGAAGTTGCATGGCGATTTACTTCAACCCTTCTTATCAGAAGACGCTCCTGTCACGGAGTTAACGGCCATGGACGGCTCTGTGAGATGGTTGCAATTCCATCTTTGTTAAATTTTTGTATCGCTTTTGCTACAGTATTCTGATTGATAAGTAAAGCTTTACTGATCTTGTTGTAGCCTTCACCTTTTTTGTGTAAAGAAGTAATTTTCTTTCTCAGGCCCTGTGACCTTTCTCTTCCATATGGTGCCATTGCTGACAGCATGAAATGGGAAGAGGTTTTCTTTAAGTAACGCCCCTTTATAATCAACTGTGTGCTGGACACCTGTTTACTGAATAATTAGACTCGCCTGTAGTTGAATTCTTGTTCATTAGGATTTTGTTGTCTGATATTAGCTTTACTCCTAGGACTTTCATTGGGGAGTCTTCATTTTTGCAACATGGCCTTGAATGAATTTGTTGGAAAAAATGCTTTTATGTGTGCAAATTAACAAATCATGTTTGCAATCAATGGCCTGAATTTGTGGAAGTGTTTTGTAGTATAGTGTCCCATAGAAAATGTTGATTTTGAACGGATAGTAAAGGTTTTCTGAAAAATCCGTTGTGGTGTAATCATTTATGCTGACCACTGTATATATGCATGTGTGTGTTTGTATGTAATATATGTACATACACTCACTGGCCACTTTATTAGGTCCACCTTGCTAGTAGCGGGTTGGACCCCATTTTTGCCTTCAGAACTGCCTTAATTCTTTGTGGCATAGATTCAACAAGGTGTTGGAAACATTCCTCAGAGATTTTGGTCCATATTGACATGATAGCATCACACAGTTGCTGCAGATTTGTTTGCTGCATATCCATGATGTGAATCTCCCATTCCACCACATCCCAAAGGTGCTCTATTGGATTGAGATCTGGTGACTGTGGAGGCCATTGGAGTGAATGCATTGTCATGTTCAAGAAACCAGTTTGAGATGATTTGATCTTTGTGACATGGTGCATTATCCTGCTGGAAGTAGCCATCGGAAGATGGGAGCACTGTAGTCATAAAGGGATGGACATGGTCAGCAACAATACTCAAGTAGGCCGTTGCATTTAAATAATGCTCAGTTGGTACTAAGGGGCCAAAAGTGTGCCAAGAAAATATCCCCCACACCATTACACCACCTCCAGCCTGAACCATTAATACAAGGCAGGATGGATCCATTGTTTTATGTTGTTTACGGCAAATTTTGACCCTACCATCTGAATGTCACAGTTGAAATCGAGAATCGTCCGACCAGGCAACGTTTTTTTTCCAATCTTATGTTGTCCAATTTTGATTAGCCTGTGCGAATTGTAGCCTCCGTTTCCTTTTCTTAGCTGTCAGGAATGGCACCCGGTGTGGTCTGCTGCTGCTGTAGCCCATCTACTTCAAGGTTCAATATGTTGTGCCTTCAGAGATGGTTTTCTGCATACCTTGGTTGTAGCAAGTGGTTGAGTTACTGTTGCCTTTCTATCATCACAAACTAGTCTGCCCATTCTCCTCTGACATCAACCAGGCATTTTAGTTCATACAACTGCCGCTCGCTCTCTGTAAACTCTAGAGATGGTTGTGCATGAAAATCCGAGTAGACCAGTTTTTGAAATACTCAGATCAGCACGTCTGGCACCAACAACCATGCCACGTTCAAAGTCACTTAAATCCTCTTTCTTCCCCATTCTGATGCTCGGTTTGAACTTTAGCAAGTAGTCTTCACCATGTCTAGATGCCTAATTGCATTGAGTTGCTGCCATGTGATTGGCTAATTAGGAATTTGTGTTACCAAGCAATTGAACAGGTGTACCTAATAAATACAGTTAGGTCCATATATATTTGGACACAGGCACAATGTTTTTTTTTTTTTTTTAGGTATTGACCAAAACATATTCAAGCTATAGTTATATAATGGATATGGGCTGAAAGTGCGCACTCTCAGGTTTAATTTGAGGGTATATACATCCAAATTGTAGGAAGAGTTTAGGAGTTTCAGCTCATAAGAGTAGCCACCCCCCTTTTTCAAGGGACCAAAAGTAATTGGACAGTTGAATCAAAAGCTGTTTCGTGGCCAGGTGTGGGCCACTCCTTCGTTATTTCTTCATCAGTTAAGCAGGTAAAAGGTCTGGAGTTGATTCTAAGTGTGATATTTTGCATTTGGAATTTGTTGGGGGGGGGGGGGGGGGGGAGGATCTAAGAGCAGTGATTCCTAAACCCTGCCTTCAGTTTGGATGTACATACCCTCATATTAAACCTGAGAGTGTTCACTTTCAGCCCATTATCCATTATATAACGATCCTTGGAGGACAGGCAGAAAACTGACCATGCTGAGGTTTGCTCTCATGTGTAACATGGTCACTTTGAAATCTAAGAGCAGGGGGACTGGCAGGACTACCAGGTATTTCACACAAAGGAAGCAATACAAAGAGAACAGGATACCTCTTAACACAAATACATGGTACAACAGATACATGTCAGAAATATGAAATGCTAGGGTAACATATTCTTTAATATATACAACTTCACAGCCAAAGAAGTAATATGTGGCCTGCCAATCACACAATGCTGTTTTCACCAGATTCTTATTGCACCAGTAGTTCCCCTTTAGCCACTTGACCTCCAGAAGGTTACTCTCTTCATGGCCAGGGCATTTTTTTGCTATTCATCACTGTGCTACTTTAACTGGCAATTGCTTGGTTATGCAACACTGTACCTAAATTAAATGTTATATCCTCTTTTTTTTTTTTTTTTTTTTTTTCCACCCAGATTAGTGTGTATTTAATCAGTGTGAACGTTAGAGTCTACAAACTATGGTGTGTGTGTATATACTGTGTATTTAAAAATTGATCAATCCTGATATAGTGGTGGCCTCATTTCTTGAGGCCCTTAAAATGCCTGGATTGTACAAATTCCCCCCCCCCCCCCCCCCCCCCCCCCCCCCCCCCCAAATGACCCCTTATTGGAAAGTAGACAGCCCAAGGTATTCCGTAAGAAGCATGGCAGGTTATTTTTAAGTTGTAATTTTTGTATTTTTTTTTTCAAATTTTTTTGAAAATTAAGAAATTAAATACAAATGTGTTTAAAAAAATGAACATATATTTATTTTGTATCATTTTTTTTCCTTCTTTTTTTACTAGTGTATTTATTTATTTCAGCATAGTGACACTGTTCTACTTTGGGGGGGTGATCTGGGTTTTTTTTTTTTTTTTTTTTGACACTCTTGTTGCTAATAACCGTAATGACCACTGGTATAAGCAAGTTACCTGTCATGAATGGCTTTCCATTCATGACAGCTTGCTTTTTGTTGACATGTTGTGATTGGCTACAGTAAATCACATGGTACAGTGTGTTATGTACGATGTGATAGATGTGGGCCAATCACAGCTTCACATAAGAAAGCAAGCAGTCATAAATGGAAACCATTTATGACTGTTTTGTTTACATTGTAATGTGATCACTATGACCAGTCATAGGGATCACATGATACCCCAGCTGCTCACAGTGGACTGCTGCTGCATGCCCCAACACGTTAGTGCGCATGTGCCAGGTGATGTACCAGTATGTCGCTGTGCCTGCCTGTGCTGCCCACTTGCAGCAACAGTACCCTGGGTGGGCATTTAAGTGGTTAAGGCATCATAAACTACTTGTAGCTAGCTTCCATGTGGTCCCATTCCCCCTTTGATCTATTGCCAAAGTCCTAAATTCAAGTCAAGAATTGCACTGGTCTAAGAATCCTCCCTCTTGCTCACACAATACAGGATTGGATCTTAGCACTTGTTTGATTTTAATTTAATCGCTAGATTGTGAAGAAAAGGGGAGAGTAGCATGTGCCCCATACTTTGAAATACTGATATTTTTTTTTTTCCAGGGCTTTGGTTGGGTCAGAGTACAGGGGAGGTAAATACAGGAAGTTTATGGTACATGCTATATAGCAAATCTGTTACTTCACCCAGTGGACTCAAACCACGGGTTCCTTTTAAGATATTGGTGGTTCATAAGTCTAAGATTATTTATTGCTAAATCATAGCAGGTCCATCTTTTCCAGTAATCATTTCTCTTTATAGGCTGATGGATTTCTAAAGGATAACAACAATGCTGCTCAGCGTCTTTTGGATGGTATGAATTTTATGGCCCAGTCTGTAACCGAGCTGAGTATTGGTCCTACAAAAGCAGTCACATCTTGGTTAACTGATCAGATCGCCCCAGCCTACTGGAAGCCTAATTCCCAAATTCTGGTATAGTATCATTATTTTTTATACTTGGATCAGCCATTCTCAACCAGGGTTCTGAGGAACACTAGTTCCTCCAGAGGTTACTAGGGGTTCCTTGAGCTGGGGCTAATTGACTCAGGGTGATGGGTAATGCTCTGTCCACCAGTGTAAAGGGGACATTCACCCCACTGATCACCAATGTAAGGGGCATTTTCCCAATGATTTCCAAGGAACTAATCTTAGCAGGGGTTCCCTGAGACGTGACAGTTATTTCAAGGGCTCCTGTGAGCTAACAGTTGAGAAAGCCTGACTTAGATTATCAAAAGGCTGTAGATATGATGCATTAATTTCTGCTGCACTGATATACTGTACATGAGTTCTTTGATTATGAAAAATCTGTATGTCTTTCCTAAAAGCCTTATTACTTATTATTTGTATAGGAATGCACCAAGTGTAGAACAACTTTTAAGGAAAATGACACCAAACATCACTGTCGGGCCTGCGGAGAGGGTTTCTGTGATAGATGCTCATCCAAAAGCCGTCCAGTGCCTGAACGAGGCTGGGGTCTATCTCCTGTGCGTGTTTGTGATTGCTGCTATGACCTTAGAGGAACCCAGAATGGTAATTGTTCATTTTGTTTCCATTGTTAACTGTTGCAATTGAGGATTGGATCATTGGTGCTGAGCGCTCAGTCTGCTCATGAATTGATTTGATTTAAATTGGTTCAGAAATCTTACTTTTTTTTTTTTTACCTGGTGCCTTTTGTAGGTACATCTATGTAAAACATAAATAAGTGCCTACACTGTTTAAAATATTTTAATACATTCATCTCATCCTGCTCTGCATATTCTAGTGGCTCTATTTTTTTGGCAATGTGCCGAATTTGTAGAGGCCTAAATTTTTAATGCTGCCCAGGGCTGTGGGCTTCAGAAAAATGGCAGCCTCCAGCAAGAAGAAACTGGAACAATGCTGGAGGCAATTTACAGCAAACACTAATTTTGGTAGCATAACTAATGTGGAATGTATGATTTTCTCTCTCTGTTTCTCTTTCTTTCCTTTTCTTCTCTCTCTCTCTCTCTCTCTCTCTCTCCTTTTTATTGGCAGGACCAAATAACATTTTAGCTTTGCCAAAGCAGTTTGTATGGAAAAGGGGGGGGGGGTAATATAAAGTGGATAGGGGATGAGTCCATGTAAAGGATTTTTAAGTCCTCCGCTTTTCATGTCCCTCTCAGTCTGTGGATTGTGCAGCTATTTTCACCATTGGCTCCTCTTCTCCCAGTAGAATTTTGAAGTCTACTCTCCTCTTTTAGAATTGAAGTCCAGGATGAGAGTGGAGAGTCTCTGGAAATGAGTGTCCCTCACTGATGAGTACTGGTGGCACTGTAGCAGGAAGTGCTCCTCATCCTCCAGGACCCTCACATTGCTTGTACAGTCTACTCTTCCTGGGCTTGTTCTGTCTATGCTGTCGTAATTTGATTTCCAGGCTGTGGGCGCTCAGCCTGTACAGGCTCAGGGTCTAGTCTATCTGTCTTTGGGGTCTGAGCACCTCCAGGTATGGGGCCAATTTGTAGTCTCTCTGCAGTGACTGGTAAAATGTTTTTTTGGAGTTTATTTCATTTCTCCATTCCCCAATATATTGTTTGGAATCATTCATTAAGTTTTTATTTGACATTTTGTCAGGCCAGATTGTTGGGCGTTTGGGGTGGACAAGGAGTTGATGAGTTGTTGCAGACTGGATGGCTTGGACTGCTCCTTATTGGTCAGTAAAACTTTATGGTGTTATGAGTTAGGACTGCTGTTTTGTAGGTGGTCCCAGTATTATGGCGCCCTCTTCTGTACTGCGAGAAGTAAGGGAAATCTGTCCAACTGGCAAGCACTGTTGGAGGTGCTCTGATGGACTTGATGTAGATGCTTGCAGAATTAAAGGTGAAATATTTCTGGCAGGCTGGGGTCCCATTTGGATTGGTATTGGTAGCTGACAGGACCCCAAACTTCACTACCATAAAGAAGGCTTGGGCTGATGACTCTGTCAAAGATTCTAAGCCAGACTTTTACTGGTGGTTTTAGATGGTGCAGGTGTCTACTGATGGCATAAAAGGCTCTGCATGCCTTGTCTTTTAGGGCCTTTATGTCTGGCTTGAAACGTTCTGATTTTGGTTAATTTCTAGGCTGAGGTATGTGTAGCTGTTAGTTTCATCAAGAGTGCAGTTGTTTAATGCAAAGGAAAGGCTCTTTGTTTTTGTGTTCTTCCTTTTGGAACACAATGATTTTTGTTTTCTTTCAGTTGATAGGTAGTGTCCATGTGGCACTGTATTTCTCCAGCACTTCCAGGTTGTTTTGCAGGCCTTTCTGTGTTGGTGACAGTAGTAGGAAGTCATCCGCATACAACAGGAACTTCACCTCGGTGTTGTGTAAACTCAGTCCAGGCGCTGAGGAAATTGTAGAACTGCAGCCAGGTAATTGATGTAGATGTTGAAGAGGGCTGGACTTGGACTGCAGCTCTGTCTAGCTCATATATAACATGTTTATTATTTTAACTAAAAAAATTTGCCTTTAAAAACCTGTTTAAGGCTTGAGATTCTGCTGAGTTCTAGCAGCTTCAAGTGTACAACAGTAAGTAAGACGAGGATTAAATGCTGGCTTCCAGTCTGCTGAAAGATGTTTGAATATATGACAATCAAGTGGTCAGCTTTATGGTCAGAATCCTAATTCTGGGATTTTTTTTTTTTTTGTATGCTATTCTCCTTCATATACAGGCAAGTTCTGAGTTGCCAGTGCTTTTTGAAACTTTTCTCAATTGCGGCATAAATGGTTTTATGTGATCTGATCTTTGCCTTGGTCATTTTATGTAGATTGTTTTATTTCATGGACAACACACTGCATTTTACATTGCAGTATCCAGTAAACAGAAGGTTTCAAGCCATTAATGGATAAGCTGAAGGAACCATCATATGTATATTGATTTCCTTTAGTGGCTGATCAGAATTGGGTGTTTTTGGTCCATTTTTAATTGCTTTAGAGATGTCTGGCTTAAACGGCCTGCTTTAGACTGATTGGGACTTGCTTTGCAGTAAAATATTTTGTGTGTTGTCAATGAACGTTGTATGACAAAACTAATTTTAAGTCATGGATCACAGATGGGCACCCTGACATGTGGCTATAGAACTTCTTAATAAATCTTAGACTTCATTGGCCCCTTCCATTTTATTATACTCCTCCTTCCTCCTCAGTTAGTTTTGGTTTTATGATGGATGTTTTATATGAACATAATGGTGAGTACATTAATTGAATATTGCAGTTTAATGTATTTAATCTGTCCACAAAACACTGTTCTATCACTGGACTTTTTTCTCTTTATAAGAGTGTTTGTTTGTTTTTTAATCCTATGTGGATGTTCTCCAGTACAAAAGAGTCTTGATTATCCATATATGTTCTCAAAGGGTTCTTTTTTTGATTATGCTGCATGCTTTTGCATCTCTTTAGGATGTCCACTGCTCTGTAGAGTAGCAGCAGTGCTTATTTCTCTTCCATTTGTAACACATCAGTCTGACTGGTTGACTGATGGAGACTTTAGGGTCTTGAGATCCACTGTAAGTTTTTTAGCTTGAATAACTCCTCTAATTCCTCAGCATTCACAGACATTGATCACACCTGTGTACGTGTGATTATTATTAACTGCTTCCTAACTGCCCTATAGCAGATATACTGCTACAGGGTGGCATGGGTGCTCAAAACCATGTGTGTGTATATATACGTGATTTTGCATTTCCGGGTAGGGGGCAGCACGCTCTACCTGCGCCACCATTTGCAGCTGTCAGTCAGTGATTGCCGAGCATCTCCGGCAGGGAGGAGAACTGTATGTAAACAATACAGTTCTCCCTGACAGCTCGTTCACACTTCTTTGGGCGGCTGTGCACAGCCATCCATAGCAGTGTGTGATTACAGTGAAGAACAGACACAAGTAAAATAGCACACAGTTAACCCTTTGATCGCCCCTCATGTTAACCCCTTCGTGCCCAGTGCCATTAGTACAGTGTCAGTACAGTGTCAGTGCTTTTTTTTTTTTTTTTAGCACTGATAACTGTATTGGTGCCACTGGGGATGTCAGTGACACCAAGTCAGTTCTCCCCATTGTCAGAATGCCCGCCACAGTCCTGCTATAAATAACTGATTGCCGCCATCACTAGTAAAAGTTAAAAAAAAGTATCTATACCGCTATTGGTAGATGCTAAAACTTTCATGTAGATCATTTAATTTACACGTATTGGGATTTTTTTTTTAGCAAAAGACGTAGCAGAATACATTTTGGCCTAAATTTATGACAAAATTTGATTTTTAAAATAATTTTTACTGGAAATGTTTAATAGCAAAAAGTCAAAAATATTGGGGTTTTTTTTCTCAAAAATGTCAGTCTTTTTTTTTTTTTTTTTTTTTAATAGCGCAATTGTCAGTTAAAGTAACGCAGCGCTGGAACGCAATAAATGGCCTGGTCAGGAAGGGAGGTAAAACCTCAGGAGGGCAAGTGGGTAGTAATATTATATAAATATAGTGAGGCACAGGCTAGCACAGGATTGTGGACATTGTACACGAGTCAGCTAGGCTTCTCGCCTACAAATGATGTTGGCTGCTATGAAGAAAATGAAGCTTTTTGTTTTTCAGAATCCAAATCGGTCTTGTCTGGTGCGATGCCTAAAGGCTTTGAGTGTAAAAAAGCCTCTTTGTCTAGGTCCACATCTTTCCTGGTAGCAAGACCTTGTCAGTTAATCTCAGCTGTGCAAGGGCCTTTATTTTTGTGAGCTGATTTGATGCTCAGGGCTCTCTGCTATGAGAGCCTTCAGCTGGATGAAAAGGTTGACTGCTGACAGAACACTAAAGTGGTACAAGAGCTGTCTTTTTAGAGAACACATTAGGGGGCACTCTATTAGTCAGGAACTGACATGCATTTAGTTGATGACACCAATAAAGCCTAACCATCTTGCTATAATTATAGTCTGGACTATCTAACACTGGAGATATGTGCGCCCTCCTATCCCTCTTGTATTGAACTGTATTGTCTCTTGTTATATTGTAAAGCGCTGAGCAAACTGTCGGTGCTATATAAATCCGGTATTATAATAATAATAATGTATCTTAGAAGTTAGTAAATAATGATCTGTCCATGGCATTCTCATGTACTCCAGCATTTTGAGGTTTGATACAGACCTGCCCAGGCCCTTTACTATAATAACACTGTATTGCTGTGTTCACATTGTGGAAAAAAACATTTTTTTTTTTTAAATTTCATTTTCCCAAAAAATTGCAATTTTAAAAACTCGATATGCCTCTTACTAAATACCTTGGACTGTGTACTTTCCAAAAAGGGGTATTTGAGGGATATTTGTACTGTCCTGGCATTTTTGAGCCTCAAGAAATTAGATCAGCCGTCAGTACATCAGGATTGATCAATTTTCAGATGTACTGTATACCCGTGTTTGTAGACTCTATAACTTTCCTAGAGACTAAATAATATACACTGATTTTTGTTATTTTCATCAAAGAAATGTAGCAGAATACTTTCTGCCCTATATTTATGAAGAAAGATTAGATTTATTTGGAAAATTTTATAACAAATTACGGAAAAC